TCACCCTGGCTGGCTGCAAACTGCAATCCATACATCTCAGCCTCTTGAGTAGCTAGGATTGCAGACACAGGCCACCAGCACCCTGCCTAGGGGAAAGATCTATACTGACTTGCGAAGACTGAAACCATCATTCTCAAATTACAACCATTGGGCTGATAAAAATTGGTAGGCTAAGAAAGTAAAAGCCCCTAAATTTTTGCAAACTGATAATACTTTAAACAAAGGTATAGGTCATCCTTTATTGATTCTGGTGTGACTTAGTCCAATATTGTAGAAGATTTGGAAAACTTCTCCTAAGACCCACAGATACACAAATGAAGATGAGTTCAGCCTTACAGTTCCATTTGTTATTCTGCCTGGCACCCAGCTATGTTTATTTCCATAGATCCAGATAATCACCTGAAGCTAGAAATAGCACCAGCAAATTGCCTGTTGGTATTTCTTATCCTAAATGAAGACCTCAGCCCCTACTTGACTATTGACAAATTGCCTGTTGGTATTTCTTATCCTAAATGAAGACCTCAGCCCCTACTTGACTTGACCTTGACTATTTTAAGTATATAAACAATATGCCAAAGATAATAGTCATTGGTGTAATAATGGGATTGATGAGGCCGGGCACAGGTGGCTCATGCCTGTAATCCTAGCTACTCAGGAGGCTGAGATCTGAGGATGGCGGTTCAAAGCCAGCCCAGGCAGGAAAGTCCATGAAATTCTTCACTCCAATAAACTACCAGAAAACCGGGAGTGGCATTGTAGCTCAAGTGGTAGAGCGCTAGCCTTAAGCTGAAGAACTGAGGGACAGCACCCAGACCTGGATAAATAAATAAATAAATAATGGAATTGATGTTTAACAACTATTTCTCAAGAGGAAAAATTAGCAGAATGTGCAAATTTCCATCATATAATTTCTTCTAGCATAGCCAATTTTAAGCCAAAATACAGAAAATTGTCACTCTGCCTCACGTCACAGGATTCAATCATGAGCTACCTGACATCTAACACTTACATAAAATTACTTCAAATTAATATGTATTGGAAGATGTTAGTTCTAACCAAATAATTTATCAATTTTTAAATAGGATATTGCAGAACTGGAAAAACTTGACGTTATCTCTTCTCTCAGAGAGCTTACTGTTTATGGCAATCCAGTGAGTATCTTACTTTTCTAATTTGTTTATTGATAATTGTATATCATGTGTTTTATACTGTATGACACATTTATCTATTTCTATGTACATAGACAGTTAACCCAAGAGTTTATTGACCAGTGTCTTCTTCCATCTGATTGTAATGCAGCATCTTTTGTATTACATTTCTATTCAGAGAAGCCCATTCAAAACATAGAATTTAAAATTTTTGTTTGGAACTGGTCACACGGATACCATCTCCCATTTATGTACTGAACTTCCAAGGAAAACAGGTTGAAGAAATCATATCATTTGTATTAATAGTCTAAGTAAAATCAAATACCAAATATCCTTATAAGCAGCTCCTCCCAACGTTAGCACCATTAGGCTATTATGTTTAACTCTTTCTACATGTCTTCTTATGCACATATGTGAATATTTTCAAGAGTAAATTGATATCAAGATGGGCTAGATCAGATGGATCAGTAGATATGTATTGAATTAAATTGGATAGTACTTTCTGACATGTCATATAAGTTTCTAACTAATTGCTTAAAAACAAATCTTCATAACATAATCCTATCCATGAGTTGAGATTTCTTAGAGTTAATGAATAATACTATGGGAGATGAGGGCATGCATGGTGGCCCAGACTTGTAATCCCAGCACTCAGGAGGATGAGGTAAAAAGATCATACATTCCATATCAGAGATCTTGTCTCAGATAAAAGAAAAGGAGATTAAATCTTTCAATGGCAACTTTAGTTTATCTAGTAAAATTTTATCCTCATTGGCATAAAACATTAAGAAGCTTTACAAATGAAGCTCATATTGGCAGCATCTAACACTGTAAAGTAACTGTTAGCTCTCATCTTTTTCTTCACTAAATTGCCTTCTATTATGACTTAATCTTTAAAGGAAAAGTGATTTTTAGGAATAAATTGTTATTTTAACTTCCTTTAGATTTGTAGAAAAGTGCTACACCGCCACGTGCTCATATTTCGACTGCCTAACTTACAGATGTTAGATGGAATTCCTATAACCTCAGAGGATAGGGCAAAAGCTGAATTCCACTTCACTGAATTCCAGGCAAGAAAAAACTCGGTAACTATTTATTTATACTTCTGGCTTCAAAACACAAAGATTAATCATAAATGAACCTTTTATCTTAGACATTTTGCCATAAATGTTAGGATTGTATTATTTTTATAGGTTGCATTAGTATTTATTTAGTGATTACTACCAAAGTACTTAGGTACTTTGACATAAGGCTAATTGTTTAATATCTGTGCTCAATCTGTTAGCTGATACTACAAGACATAAACTATAATGTAATACTTTCATAAATAGGAACTAACAAAATTACTTTCACTTAGATAAAAGGAAATGAAGGAAGGAATTCTTCCCTCACATCTCTGAACTATGTAGGATATCTAACAACCACCACCACAAAAAGTGGTATGTTCTGCTTTTCCTGTATATTGGCAGGACTTGGGGATCTTCTACCTCTGAGCTCCAAGACAATAAGCGGAACAAAATTAGAGAAGAAACCACAGAAAACCCCGCAAATTTATTGTCTTGTAGTTCTGTTGGCTAGAAGTCTGAAAATGGGTCTTAGAGAGGTAAAATAAGATCATTGTGCTGAATCGCTTCTGGGAGCTCTAGCAGAGAGAGCTCCTCTGTGCCCTCACCAGCTACTGGAGGCTAGCCACAGTCACTTGGCTTTTGGCCTTCTCTCAGCATAGCATCACTGCTTCTGCCAACATATCTCCATCTCCCATTCTGCCCTTCTGTATCCCTCTTCTAGGATAATCCACAGTCATCTTCCCCATCCCCAATGCCTTAACTCAGCCACACCCACAAACTTCTTTCTCATTCAGGTAAAGTATCCACAGGTTTAAGAAGTTAGAAGAGTGAACATCTTTGGGGGATGGGAATCATTCTACCACAATGCATATGAAGGGCCCCACTGATAGACAGAAACTAGAACATTAAAATGTATAAACTGAATACAGTGCAATCTGAAAGAATACAGCAAAAGGTTCTCAGGGCTGTGGGCAGAGCTCAAATGGTCAAGCACCTGCCTACCAAGCACAGAACCCTGAGCTCACCCCCCCAGGACTGCCAGAAAAATAAAAAAAGAAGATGATGATTCAGAGGGGAGGTTTTTTACTTAGTGCAAGAGGTAACTAGTTATGGCAGAGGTAACTAATAATGAAAAGAACTTTGTCAAGTAGAGCTTGTGATAAATATGAAAGCTATTTATCTGAGCTTTAGAGCTAAGATGTACTTACCTGTTTTATTTTGTCATGCAGATAATTCCACTTGCCAGCTCTCCTATAGATGGGTCATTTTGCCAAGTTAAAGCATCTCCCATTAAAATAACAAATGTAATATTACCTGAAGGATTTAGCCATTACTTGGGACATGATTTCACCTTAACTCCTGACGTTGAAGGTATTTTGCAAAGAGTTTCAGAGAATATAAAAACAAACCCAAAACAACAACAAAACACTCCAACAAAAATCTCACTTGGATTTCTAATATTACTTAAATTGCATGTTGTCATCCATATTTCTTAACATTGCATGTTTGTTCAATTTTTCTGTGGGCATTCTGATTTCAGAGAATGGTATTTCCTTTCTAGTCTGCAGCTAATATGTGTAGCTAAATATTTGTTCTCTTTGTAATACTTACACAATTATTTCCTAACTTCTTTCCAAACATTTTCTGTTCTTTTCAATATGTGGTGTTGTACAACTTAACTAGTTCATTAGTAAATTCTACTAAAAGTAGAAACCAGAAAATGTTAAAACAAACTAACTGGGCTGCGAAGGTGGCTAAATGATAGAGCTCTTGCCTTGCATGCATGAGGCCCTGGGTTCAATTCCTCAGCATCACATAAGCAGAAAAAGCCGGAAGTGGCACTGTGGCTCAAATGGTAAAGCACTAGTCTTGAGCTGAAGAGCTGAGGGACAGCACCCAGGCTCAGAGTTCAGGGCCCATGACCAGCAAAAAACAACAACAACAAAAAACTAACTAACTATTGAGGGCACAGAGGGTCTCAGACAAATAAATCAAGACTTTTTTTAAAAAAAAACATTGTTAAATTTATAAGGCTAATACTAGGGATGATTTTTAATAGATAAAACTCTAAAAGAGAAAATAAATGAAGAGGACATGAAAATAGTTTATTCTATTATATACATTTTAATTCTGATTAGCATAAAACTTTTATCTGGCCATCTTGTTTTGGAAAAATTCTTTGAGGGATCATTTTGTTCAGTCCTTTTACTTTTCACCTTTTTTCTTAGACCACTGTTAGATAATAAAAGTGAAACATAATTGTAAATTTTTTTTTTGCTAGTACTGGAGATTGAACTCAGCGTCTCGTTTCCTAACCCAACATTATACTATGTGAGCCACAATTCCATCCCCTTTTTACTTTGTTATATTTGAGATAGGGTACGGTCCTCCTGCTTGTTCTTCCCTGCTGGTGATGATAGATGGGTACCATTATACCTGGTCATTTTTTTTCCCCTGTGGCTAGATTAACAGGTGCACACCACCATAGCCAGCCATTAGTAGAAATAGCATCTATCCAACTTATATGATCTGGCTGGCCTGTAACCATGATTTCCCCAATCTCCAAATAACTATGATCATAGGCTTGAGTGATTGTACTTGGCTAAACATCATAACATATAACAAAATGTATCTAAGAGCCAACTGAAAGTGGGAGATTGTTCTATATGATAACCATTTTTTATTTTATTTATTTTTATTTATTTATTTTTGTCAGTTGTGGGGCCTGAACTCTGGGCGTGGGCACTGTCCCTCAGCTCTTCAGTTCAAGGTTAGCATTCTACCACTTGCGCCACAGAGCTACTTCTGGCTTTTTCTGCTTATGTGGTGCTGAGGAATTGAACCCAGAGCCTCATGCATGCAAAGCAAGCACTCTACCACTGAGCCACCCTCCCTGCCCATAACTATTTTTTAAAAGTATACCTGTTCAAAGAAACCTAGCATCCTTTTTCTGTTAAAATGTTTTAATTACCTAACTTATTTCTTACATTTGTACATATTTATGGCTTTAATGTTTTAATCATGAGAATTAGTATATTTTTACCCAAAAAGAATTATACACACATCAAAATTGGATATACCAGAATGTTATTGTTATTAGTGTCCATTATAATGTTGTCATAAGGAATGTCGGATTTTTTAATTCATTTGTCAATTCATCTTCATATATTTTTCTCATACATAGTCAAGATTTGTTATGCAACAATTTCATAGTATCTTATTTTATTACAGCCTGAAAACTGGAAGATATATTTTTTAATTACCTATATAGGATTGATTACCTCAAAAAGACCTAATCCATATTAACAGTGTGTTACAATTTTTAATAGGCTTTGCTTTATTTTGATTTTTGGTCTTTGTAATCCAAGCTGGTCTCAAAACTCTTAATCTCCCTGCCTATATTTCCCAAATGCTGGGATTACAGGCATGTACCCAGGTGATTCCCCATTTATATTTTTATTTGAACTTATAATTCATAGGATGAACCTGTACAGCATACATTCACTCTACTTAAAAGCACAGCCACACTTTACTATTTAATGGTCCTCGTTGTGTTATAATTTTAACTATTTGAATTTCACTCCTGATTTTAGACAACAAAAACAAGAATACAGGGATTATGACAAGTAATCGAAGCATCCATGCAGAAATCTCTTTCCAACAACTCAGAGGAGTGACCCTGTCTCCATCCCTTTTAGCACATCAGAACGTTGCGCCGCCAACTACACAAATATACCAGAGCAACCAAGATGAAGGAAGGTAAAACTGTTTTGATTTTAGTGTCATTCATGACTTAAAAAAAAAACTTCCACGGTTTCTCATCATGTATAGATACAGGAAATTTTGTTATATACCATTATGAATTTTTTCTAAGCATAAATTATTAAGAAGGCATACTTCCTATTCTCCCACATTCACGAAACCTTTGTCCAAGTCTAGTAGATTTACATCAAATTCAAAACGCTTGAAATCAGCATCAAGATGGAATAGTGCTTGGGGAAGCTCAGCTCTACTGGTGAAATAATCACATGGGAACTACTTTTCATGGTAGTTCCTCCCACTCACTGTACTCACTGTGTGCATAATAGGCTGAGTCACATTTGACCAGCAGATAGATCCTACTCTGTGAAATTGCGAAGGCCAAGAATTTTAGCAGTTCTTCAAAGCCCTCCTTAGAGTTCATCCTGCCTTCAGTTCTGCATCAGCCCTAGAGCTGAGTTCAATTCTTAGAACCCTGTTCTCATTAAACATTCATGCTGCTGCCCAGAGCTTCCCTGCCTGGATTCCCAAACATTACCTGCTCTCAACATCTTTGCAGTTATGTTGTTGCTCATGTCTGAGGGAGGCCTACCCAGCAGATCTGAGGCCTGGACTACAAGAAACTGTCTCACATTGCTTTCTATAATCAGTTGTGTTTCAAAGAGTTCTCAGAATAGCCTAATCTTTAAATAGCCACAATAAGATTATTTTCTCCTTCACATTACCTTTTTGCAATTGAATTTATGTAAAATACAGAAACTATTTACTTGAAGTTAACTGATACATTTAGAAGTTGTCAGTCACCATTATTTGACTCAAATGTCTTATTTCTTACAGAGTTCCTGGGAGCAACTTTTCAAGATCAAATCGAATGTAACTGCCTCAAGAGAAATAACCATACCAGGAAATCTCTTTCTTGTAGTGGTTGTAGAAAAACTAGCAGACAGTGGCCAGTGGGGGAAAAAGCTAATAATCATGTTACTTATGTTACTGAGGCACTTCAGTTCCATATGAAGATAATCTATCACCCTTGAGAATTTAAGATCACCTCTCTTAAACTTTCCTTATGGTTACCTTAATTATTTGCTTCAATTTCTGTATTCTAAAAAAATCATGAACTACTTTTAAAAAAATACGCCAACAATTTTAAAAGGTTAAAGTGGCATGAAAAAAGGCCAAGGATTCAAGTGCTTAGTTCTGGTATTAGAAGCAATAGGGTCTGTCATATATAAAGATATTAAGGAAGGTAATTTTAGGAAACAAGTGTACTTTCATTTGTAGAATATCTATTCATTTGGAGTTACATGAAACTAAAGTATACATTTCTTGCTAAATACAACCATTACTAAAACAAGATGAGTTTTGCTAGTTCAGTTTGCTACAGGTTAGTTTTTAGGATTATACTTCAAAAAAATAACAATTTCAAACCAGGCTTACCCTCAAAATTGTTTAGAGATACAAATATTGAGTATCAAAACTAGTTTCAAAATATTTCTAACCATGAGTGTAACCAGTTATACTTCTCTTAAGAATAAGAGAAAAGAGTGAATTTCATATGCAAATCGTTAACCAAGCCTACAGCAATATTTTTTAAAGTAGTTTTAGTGTAAAAAAAACTGTTCAAATTCAGTTTTGTCTTTTAAAATCATATTTCAGTGGAAACAATTTTTCTAAATTATTACATTGCCTGGAATATCACAAATTAATCAAATGTGGTTTGAATTTACTTATTTGGTAAATACAATTCTTTCATAGATGACTAAATTGCCAATCACATTTTGACATGAATTGGCTCATGATTCAGGAAGTGTTCCATGTTTAAAGTATTGGTTCCATACTGCATATAATTTTCATAGTATTTATAGTTTTTGCATTAAAATGTATTGTTTTTACCCAAATATTTATACATAATAATCTATCTTGAAATAGTTTTAAAGGTATTTTGGAAATGATAAAATTCCAATGTATATGCAACAATTTTAGATTTTTTTTCTTTTAAGCACTGTATGTTTGTAATTTAATCATGTAATATTTTTAATGTCAAACCTAATTATAGATTGATTTGAACATCTTACTGTGTGGTCTTTTTATAACTATTAACATTCATGTGGAAATGCTGTCCTTTGTTTGTGAAACAACTTTGCAATTCTTAACATGTCCAGAAGATGTCTTTGTTGCACTTCAGTTGTGACAACTGACTTCATCACAATGTGTGGCCAGGTCTGCTAAATTGGCATCATCTGCTTTTATTTTAAATCTTTTATGATTATGTACATATGAAATGAATATTTCTATAATCATGTCATTTTTAAAAACTAAAATAGACTAAACAAACGTTTTTCAGTGGAGAAAAATATTGAAGAATAAAAAATACATAAGGCATGGGCTGGGAAGATGGCTCAGGGGTAGAGTGCTTGCCTTGAACACATGAGGCCCTGGGTTCCATTCCTCAGCACCAGGTAAGAAGAAAAAGCTGCTGTAATCCTTCCTACTCAGAAAGCTGAGATCTGAGGATCGCTGTTCAAAGCCAGCCCAGACAGGAAAGGCCTTGAGATTCCAATAAAAAAATATCAGAAAACTGGAAGTGGTACTGTGGCTCAAGTGGTAGAATGCTAACCTTGAGCTGAAGAGCCGAAGGGTCAGTGCCCAGGCCCAGAGTTCAGGCCCCACAACCAACCAAAAAAAAAAAAAGTAATGTTAAAAAAAATACATAAGGCAAAAGAAACCATAACTTTACCATATGCACTTAACACTATGGCATATTTTCTTTTAGCCACTTTTCCTATGGATTTTTATATAGTCCTTTGATTTTTATGTTCACATTGTTAAATTTTGAGAGTTACTTTACAATTCTTACTATAAATTTTAAACTTTTAATTACATCTTAATCTCTTCTGGAAAGTATAACTTCAAAACATTTGATAGTGATAATAAACATGAATTTATACATCCCTAGGTTCTATACACACTACAGACACAAAACTACCTTGGAAGAACCTTCCAATGTAGTACACATAATGACTTCATAAAGAAGTGACAAGGAGGAAGATTAACATGGTTGTGAATTATTTTTTCTGCCACGACAACTGATGCCAGTGACATGGACATCTCCTCTGAGAACACCTAGATAATATGCAATTCGTAAGGCAACAGCTTAACTACATTCTTTTCCTACTTAAAGAAAGAAATGAAAATGTCATTGAATATATATTTTGTAGCAGTGATTTCAGTTGTATTTTAAGTTATGTTTAAGTAAACAATATATAAGCTGAATTTTTAAAGTGATCTTTATAAATTCTTTGTGACATACTAGAAAACTGTAACAAAATAGACAAGTACTATTTTAACATATTTACAAAACACTGGAACACATTTTAAATTACTCATACTAATATTCCTACGACATAGGTATGACATGGCTGTCTCCATTTTTATCAAAGAAACTAAAAAGCAGTAGATATTATACCTAATCCAAGAGTTTTTACCTCCAAATTCACACTTTTTCAATGACAAGTAAATGCCATTTATTACTAATGTGCTGTTTAATAAGCTGTTGTGGAATCCTAATGTATGCAAAAACTCTTAGTTCTCTTTCAGTGTTGTTTAAGGAAAACATGTAACTTCTATAGTAAAAGTATTATTTCTTTGCTTCCGGAAAACGTCTTGAAAGATTTCTTTTGCATGCAGTCAGTCATATGCATAACTGGTTATATAAGTTATTTTAATTTTTACTTTGACAAGCAACTTTTACTTTCACAAACAACTTGAGAAGCTACAAACTAGAGTACATTATAGATTAGGAACCAACTAATCTGAACTGAAATATAAATGACATCAAATTGACTTATTTATATACAGAAAGATTAACTAATTGTTCAATAAGAATTTTATTATTCCAGTTTTTATAGCTCTTTTCTCTTGCTACAAAATTAGCTCTGGTTGGGAACATATTCTTGCTTTAAATGCACATTATACATTGTGTACTAGGTGAATACTACAAGTGTATATGTAGGCCCTACTGACTAAATTTAAAATAAAATTTCTCATATGTAAATAACCATAAGCTATCAAACATTATGAGACATGTTTAATGTTTTAGAACATTACATTTTAACTATGTTTTTAGCACTTAGCTTCAATTATAAAAGAAAGTGCATTATTTATAGTTTTACATGAGTAGAAGTGAGTACTTATGGCAATGTCACATTGGTTTTTCAGCAACTCTAACCAAGTCTCTTAATGGAGTGGAAACAGGTTGGTTTTAGCTGATGATTTTGCTATAAAACCTACAGATATTCCAGACAAGTTCCAAGCACTACACTGTCTTGTTCATCTTTCCTCCATTATTGAAAAATTTTTAAAGAAATCCAATACTAAAATGCAATTTAACTTTATTAGCTTCCTTTTAGAAGTAGGCAATCAAGAAATGGTTTTATTAGAATTATTCTGCTTCTATCTGCTTTTATTTTATAAAAAAACATCAATTACAGCATTCTACTATTATCCTTTTAAAAATAAAATTGTTTTTCAAATTATTCAAAACACATTTGGCAAACTATCAGCATTTTAATGTTATTTTTGTTTTGATGAGATTTTTCCTTACAATTAATATAAAATTGATTTAATGGAAAAAATAATGGACTTATGTACCCTAGAAACAGAATGTGCAAAACATTCAAAAGTATTTTTGAAAGTATTATTATGAAATTTTATCTTTATATTTTATTAAACCTTTCCCTAACTATAGGCTATTTTCAGTTAAAAATATATCAACCATTTTCACATTTGACTTAAGTTGCCAGTGACTACAAAGTCTGAAATACAAAGTTAGAATGGATTTTCCTTTATATCGTATTAGTAAATACAATAGTATTTCCATAGGCTCCAGTTTTTTAATGCATCAGGATAACATTTTAGTAAGTTTTTCTAATAAATTGTGATCGAATATGACAACAGAAATACATATGAAATATTTTTCACAAAATAGTAAGGTATGTAATTTCACATTTAGGTAAATAGAAATATGTAGATCCACATTTTCTTCTGGTCTATAATATATCTTATAATTTTAATTTCTAAATGTTTTAATGTTTTAAAACATTTCATACCCAGTTATTTTTAAAGATTACAAATAGAAAATAACATTAGTAACGATCTTACTCTTTCACATACCATAAAAATAGCTATTTTAATTGCACAAAATTAAGGTGATATTTAAAAGCTATAGATGATATCTGTAGTCTGTGTTTTATAACTCATTATAGAGTAAGTTTAATTTGCCTAGAAAATGTTGATAATTTTAGTGGTTTGGTTTGATTATTTTTTTCCTGTCTTTGATTATAACAAAGTATAACTTGTCTCTCCCATCCTAGAATGTTTTACAACTGTTATCTCTCACAAAACAGCCAAGAAAACCTGCATTATATATAATTTGTGTATATAATATATTTCAATAGCATTTTTAAGTTTCCAATTACTTGTTACTTCTTCTTGGTTTAAAGCAGATATTTACAAACACTGGTAGTCTACTTTCATATGGCCTTTCATTTTTGATGAAGTGCTTTAAAAGAGTTCAATCAACCTTAATGATGCATTTTTAGTCAAGGAAATAGAATGGGGAGAAGTCAATTTGAGCTCTGAGATGAACAAGTGTCTTTAGGAAGAATAGGCATAAATGGGTTTAGAAAACAGAGTACGTGTAAAATGCAGCGAGCAGAGCACTTGGGGAAGCCAGATACAATGGAAAGAGTAAAATACTGCAGAGCTTTTTAAGCTACATACAATTGGAACAATAGACTTGATCCAACCATCTATGTTAAACTGTTAAAAGATAAGTGAAAAGCAAGTTGGAATTTTATAAAGAGTGTTGAGGCACTGTAAATGAAGAGCTGAATCCAAAGAAAATGAATGTAGTCATTCAACAGAATGAAAATGAAGTCAAAATTGGCCTATTTCCCTGGTTAATTTACCTTGTGAAGGACTCTGGTCTGTTTTAGGTATTAATCCATTAATAGCAACAAAACAATCTTTAAACTGCCACCACTGGAGTTTTTAAATGTAGTACACATCTGTGAATTTTATGAACACACACATATACATATACATTTATTTATACATCCAGGTAAAAATATAACAAATCTCATGATTATAGGAAAGTAATATTAGAGCCTACAATGATCATACTATGCTGAACTTCTTGCACTCCATGGAAAAAGAAAAAGACTAGTTTAGATTTAGGGACCATCATAAAACTTGAAATAGAAAACTAAACAGAGAACGTACTACTTGATTCAAGAGGGAATTTTTTTAATGGTTTGACTTTTTCATTAGGTGAGAGTTGTAATTGGCCTGCCCACTAAAGCTCTGATAATGGCAAATTTCATATAGGAAAGGGAATCAAATGTAGGGAAGCCAACAAGAGACAGATATGCAGTATTTTAAATTTTTTAAAATATAGTGGATTAAACAGAAGCACTGGTATTTAATGTAGCTGGAAAAAATATCCATTATAAAACAAGAAAATAAGAATGTTTTGTTTCTGCCTAACTTTCCCATCCCCTTTTCAGATTCCTTTGGGAAATTTCTTCCCAATTCTATGAGTCATTGAAACTACTGATCATAAAACAGTAGTCACTTTGAGCCTCAAATTGAGAATGAGACATTAGGAAAGATTTCTCTGGTTCATTTCCACCATTGCAACCAAGTCTCTGGCAGCCACTTGCCAGCTACTAAGTCTAGTTGAAGAATAGGGCAACACAAAGAGATATAGTTTTGACAGTAGTATTTGAGTCTCCTGGAGCAGCCTTTCCGTAAGCCAAACCCTTTGACTTTTCAATTACATGAGCCAATAAATCCTTTGGAGAGAGAGTGGAATGAATTTCTGTCACTCATAACCAAGAGTTTCTTAGTATAATGCATAATCTCTGGGAGACATGGCCATTTTCACTTCTGTTTTGAATTTCACAATTACAGTAATTTAAGGAAATATGGTTCAAGGTA